CCAAAGTACACGACCGTTTCATCCATTGGCACTTTCTGGTCGAGATCCAAACGTGGCCGTTGCTCTTGCAGGAACCACATGTAGCTGACCGCTCGTTCGATGACAACTTCATCGGTCAGAATGGTCAAGTTGAAGCGACAACGTAGCGAGAGGCCACACCGAGCCATGAAGTTTGAGACCCAGTGCTATGTTGCAGCGAACCTCTCTTGCGGGATGTCGTCTTCGCGGAGAGATGCATAAATGGCAGCACCCATGTCGGAGTCCACGTCTTGGTCAGTTTTTCTTAGGCGCTTGTTTATGATTTCATCGTTGAGTAGATCTTCCATGTTGCTCGATACGGGTTTGCGATCACCACCAGGAAGACGAAGCTGGTGTGGTTCGGCCACCATAATGTCCGCTCGTGTTCGCCACCACCTTCCGACTGCGGCACCATCCAAAGCAAGACCGATCGATCGAAAATTGGCAGCGGCTCTACTGGGCACACGCCGCCATGTTTTTCAATTCACGAAATAACTTCTTTCTTTCGCCACATTGGAATGGCGTTGCGCCGTTTCGCCATACCTGTCAAGGGGGCAGGGTGCCACAAGTCGATGACAAAATGAAATGTTGAAATTTCTGTGGTGAATCGTCCATACTATTCGTCCTTGATTTTTGTCAGGTCATCTGAAGTCATTATAGCGGGGTAATGGATATTGTAAATTTTATTTTTGAGGCTCTATTTGGGACTGGACTCTAATCAGGAAAATCCGTTAGTTGTAGGGGGTGTAACGATTGTACTCCGAAAAAAATGGTCCGCGAGGCAGGTGGTCTGCTAGCCTCACGCTATGGCTTTTCTTTTGAAAAGCCATAACTGCTTGGATCAGTATTATATATATGACTACTTTTGTTTATGATACTCTCGAGACAAAGTAACAGCAAATATCAATCGGTTTACGAAGAGCTGATACGTGCACGTTTTTGGTGATTTAGCTCGCTCGGACTTGTCGAGGCAGAGCTTTCTTTATGAAGGATGCACACCTTCCCTCTCGCCCTTAATATCACATGCTGTCAATTCAACGACCAAGTCTTCAGAATTATGTAATCCTTTGTTGGGATTAAAGACGAGCTGTTCGGCTATCTTATCTCAGGACAATTATCGACCCTTAATATACTTCCATTTTTAGTTAGTGCCGATAATGCAAGAACTGACGGCTCAAGAGCTGAATGCTATCCGATCGCATGACGGTGTTCGCTCGCTAGGAAGACGTACTGGAAATACCTCCCGGCAAATAATTACCAGACATTGGTGGCAGCATCACCATCACATCGCGAACAGCAGAAGAAGGAAGCAGATTGCGCGCAAGAGTGGGCCTTCACGTGTAGTGTTTTCCGGAAGTATCAGCCTAAACATGAATCGGTTTGAAGCGACAGATATCCGTGGTGTGCGCTAATGCTATTGCTCGTATTAAGCCGGTGACAATTCGCAGACAATTCCAAAGGTTAAAAAGTTTCATCGCCACGATGGAGGCAAATCCTCATTTATAATGTAATAATGGCTATCATACAAAATAAGAACTTTCGGACAGATACCTCCCACCGAAAATTTCTGCGTCCATAATGTATGTGCTGGGTGAAGCTGTAACTGTTAAGTACAGATTCCAAATCACGAGAGTCGATTGAAGTAAGGGAGGGGATGGGCTGCACTAGCACGTCGGTGGCGGCGGATCTCAGTCATTTTGAAAAAAAAGAGAGCCATCATCTAGCTGTCAATCAACAACATAACTTGTAGATTTACTTGTGTGGCAGTTTTGGATAGTTACGCTTTACGTGTCTTCATCTCTCTCAGCTGAGAAATGCCCAGGAGGGTGTTCTACGCATAGAACATGAACCTGCGGATAACGTTGAGTATCACCAGACGAGGGTGGGCTATCAAAAAAGGACTTCCTTGTGGTTTGTGGAAGTCGAGGTTGATGAAACGCTAAGGAGAGTGACTCCGTCTTAGGGGAGGGGCTTACACCTTAAGGTTGTTGTTTTCAACGTCAAATACCTGGGCTGTATGAAATTGTGAAAAGCTAAGAGAAATCATATGTATCTTGCGAATACATTTCATGCGCGACTGCCAAAAACACGGATGTCGAACGTTAGCTGCCACTTACAAGACTTTCAAGTGTGTGTTGTGAGCCCACATGTCACTAGTTTGATTTAATTAGGAAGCATCAATCGTCGATGGCTTCGGGGGGTCATACGAATCAATTATTATAAAGTGTCTTGATCATGCACGGCAGGCGAAACTATCAGCGAGCGGCAAATTTAAATGTATGCGAAGGATTACACGGATGCATATTCTAGTTTGCTTTCAAGTAAACCTACAATGTTTGAGACAGAGAAATTGAAATATGTGCTCGAACACAAATCGGTCTTCTATCTTTTAGTAATTCAATATATATATTTTGCAGGATCCAATTACATTTATTAGCAAACAGGAGGCGAGACCCTTGTCTGGGTCCTTGATGAATTCATACGCATTGCCAAATTATGCCAAGAGGATGCTGAATGATGAAATTAGAATTCAATTGACATGGTTAGTGTTTCTGTTTTTTGCACGGTAAGCTTGTTTACTCGTCCAGAAAAAAAAAAAA